TCCGCCCTTCTCCCTTCTCCGCCCTTCTCCCTTCTCCGCCCTTCTCCGCCCTTCTCCCTTCTCCGCCCTTCTTCCCTTCTCCGCCCTTCTCCCTTCTCCGCCCTTCTCCCTTCTCCTCCCTTCTCCCTTCTCCGCCCTTCTCCGCCCTTCTCCCTTCTCCCTCTCCTCTCCTCTCCTCCTTGCACCTCAACTGCAAGTGCCAGATCGCAGTGGGCACCACCAGACCCAGAGCGCAGTGGGCATGTATACCGGACTGCAGCTGCAAGTGCCAGAGCGTAGTGGGCATGCTCAACGGCAAGCGTCAGATTGCAGTGGGCACTACGGGACCTCAACTGCAAGCTCTGGATCGCAGTGGGCACTGCCAGACCTCAACTGCAAGCACCACCTCAACCCCTCAACCACAAACACCAACACAACACACAACTAGACCACACAACCGCAAACACAACTACAAACACACAATACAAAACACACAACAAACACAAACAAGACACAGTACACAATCAACATAGTACAGCCACAACACACACACACACACACTCGCAAACACACAACCACAAACACAACTGCAAGCACACAATCACAAGCACAGCAGAAACACAGTGCGCAACCAACAAAACACAACCACATACGCAAACACAAAGCACAGCCACAAAGACCAACACAATACACAGCCAGCAACGACAAGCACAAACACACAAGCACAGTACGCAATTAACCAACACAGCCACAATAAATAATTAATATAAGTAATTAAGCGCAGCTCCAAACACCTGGAAGGGCCTGCCAGCCAGGTAAATACCCAAGTCGCTTTTGTTTTGCAACCATTACTTCAGCAACGTAGTCTGTGAGTCGTGCAGCGTCACGTCTTGCGCATGTTTCCACGACCGTTAAGGCATCCACATGGCATCAAAACAAGGACAGGGTCGTACTTTGGATAGAATGCCGGCCGTAGAGCCTCAACCATGGCATTTATGATAGACGATTCGTAAGAGCACAAACCAGAATTGATGCCAGAACAGTGTTTCAAAAGACCTGCGTGAGTCAGTGCTTGACTGTTCGTTTCCCACCATGACATGAAAACACATGATTGAAATGTCATGGTGGGGATCACTAGAGGCGTGACTTGGAGACTAGGAGAATCACGAGTTGCCAAGTCTCCTGCAAAGTGGTGTACGATGAAGTTGTTTTGTCGGAGCTTCACCACTTCAAAGTGAGGATTGCTCCCGTGCGTGCGCTGCATCTTGGAGCACCAGCCCTCCGAGCTTCCGCCAGTCGTGATGCATTCCTCATCCAACATAGGCAGGATTCCCAAGGGAGACTTGCCTGGCTTGCCCCCAACCAAGTCCACAATCACATGATTATCAGGAAAGTCCAGAGGATCCCATGAAATGCCCTCTCTCCTGGCGCAGAGCGCAGAACTCCATAGCGGATTTTCGTTTTCTTTCATAGCTGGGCAACAGCAAGATAGAGCAAGGTACTGTAATATGCGCACAAGCTTTCACACAACAACGTCCATCCAGGTGGAAGCTTTCGAGCTCTGCTCCTGTATAGATCTGCCTCATGTTCGAAAATGACCTCGTTGAAGTACTGCTGCAACAACTCATTGGTGAAATTGATGAACAGCTGCCTTGGATACAGACTTGCCCACTGCAGCTATCCCACAACATGGCCTTGCTCTACATTGCACGACACTGCCCCCCACAACGAAGTCTATCTATTGTTCACTCTGCTCTCCAATCTGGCATAGGACTCGGCTTCAGTGTTGCTGACAGCATGGAACTTGGAATATAATAGAAAACAAGACTTTGTCACCAAGATGCTCCAATGAGTTCTGCTCAAAGAATTCGAATCCAAAAATGTCCAGCACTCCTACCTGAGTCGCTACAACTTGCTACATATGAACCACACCTGACTCTAGGGCGTTGTCCATCCACCTGGAAACACTCTCAGGCACACTTATATCAGAACAATCTTCAACCTTGAAGTCAGTGTCTTGTTCCTCAGCACCAAGTGACGAAAGGCAAAAGCTTGGATCTGCCGCCCACGGTCTGACTCCAGGCAGCTCCACCACTCTCCTTGGCCCAAAAAGCCGAGAGCTCCTTTTGAGAAAGTCGAAGGAAAACAGACCATGCTGTAAAAGAATAATGAATGCTTATATAACTCTCTATCTGTATATTACATATATTATATACATACAAACAAACAAACATACATACAAACATACATACATTACATTACATTACATTACATTACATTACATTACACTACATTACATTACATTAAATTACATTACGTACATACATACCTACGTACGTACGTACATTACTTAAATAACATACATAACATAACATAACATAACATGACATGACATACATTACATACATTACATTACATACATTACATTACATTACATTACATTACATTACATTACATTACATTA